CCTGAAATTACGATTTTTGTAATAAGAGAGGAGTCTAGAATTAAAAGCAAACCTGCAAATTATTAAATTTACCCAATAATAATAATAGAACCTTGTTGGACTGAAAGGGCAATGTCGATTCTGTTCAAAAGGGCGCCTATTGATTCTTTGGGATCCATTGCGTCAGACTCGATAGCATCACTTTCTCCATGTTCATTCTCGTTTAAGCTAATTAATTAGGTCAATTGCCGGATCAAGGGTCCTTTTGACAATATTTATTTATTTATTTATTTTTAAGTTCTGCTTCTTGTAAAAGAGTTTCTTAAATAAGTTACTTTAGATCTAGTCAAACAAAGCATTTTCAGAAAATTATTAAAAAATGTTTAAAAGTAGCTTCTTGAAATTAACAGATGCTATTAACTTTTTAAATTCATACCAAACGATTCCTAATCGACACGATGCAATGTAATAGTTAAATAGATAGGCAGTACACATGTTCTTACAAACAATAGTTAAATAAATAGGCACTACACATCTTCTTACAATCAAAATTTACATTGCAACAATGTGTCGATGAAATGGAAATGGGAAGCATGACCATTTGAAGTTGCCTAATTTAAAAGGAAAGTGTTATGTGTACATAATAGTGTACACACAGTATTACACCCTCCTCACGTCGAGGGAGCCCACATAAAATAAAATATTCGTAGGTCCCCTCCATGTGAGGGGGATGTAATCTATTGTGTACACCTCATGGTATACACATGAAATTATCCAATTTAAAATCAACTATAGACTTCTATTTTCATGTGAATGACACGACCATTATAGAAATATTTCTAACTTCTAAATAATGGATTTTCTTTTGTCAAAACTTATTTATATCCATAAGTCGGTTTCTTAAGCTATTAATTATGCTTTGCCCATCTGAGTCATTACATCTAAATTTGTTGTTACTGTCACTACATAAATATCGTGCTCAACATTTAGATTGGACAGTAATAACAATTTCTTATGTCATTTTGGTCATTTAACCTAATTTATCCAAGTCTTATGGTTCTTGGAAATTCTTTGAGTTCCTTAGAATGAGCCACGTACATTCATCTAAAATATATCTTCAAACAGCCCTTCGCGTGTCGGTCGCACATTGTTTCATCAAGTGCACAATTTGCATAAATGATCTGTGAATCAAGGTTCTTTACCTAAATCCATGTGTGTGTGTGTGTGTGTGTGTGTGTGTGTGTTTATATATATATATATATATATAGTAGAAACAAACTGCTAGGCAATTCAAACAAGAAGCAGGTGCAACCTTTCAGTGTCCTAAAGCCAATGTTCCAATCACATTTTCAAGATAAAGACGTTTCACAAACCCGTATTGTCAGGTTTTGAACTCTACAACGTCCACTCCTATTTTACTTCCACATGTAGAAGAATACTAAGTTCTAGGAAGTCTTACCTCAAAAATATCCCCTGTAAGTCCATTTTGGATGTTGAAAACCTTGCCATTTCTCTCTTAATTTCTGTAAGAGCAGGAAGACCTTAAACACTGTCTCCTCATTGGCTTATTTCTTGTGTGTACCAATTGAAGTCATTTGAGAAATGTAAATATGGGCTGAAGAATGAATGCTTTCTACCGATGCGACTCTTCTGCTAGTGTTTTTCTACTTTACTGTTTTAACAACTTTCTTCAAATACCAATCTAACCGATCTCGAATACATAATGAAAGCAATAGAATCTTACAGGATTTCAATGCGTCCTTGCCAACTCATGTTCCCTGCTGTTCACTTTTCTTGAATTGTCTACTGAATGTGTGCCTATTCATGCGTACCTCTCGGCATTATCAAGGGTGGTGTTAGAATGGGGTTCAGTGGGGATAAAGACTTGACAACACATAAATTTTGGAAATAAGCCAATAACAAAATAATATTAAAAACGTCACCACAATTTACCATTGTTCCCAACAGGTTTTCACACTTCGGAAACCACGGATAATGACATCATCATCTATTTTTTGGAATACATCGTTTTCAATATATACAACTAAGTTGTCATTCATCCACTGATCTCCAATTTTATTGCGCAATCGAGCCTTCACAATGTTAGTTGCAGTCAAGACTCTTTCAACTGTAGGAGTAGCAATGGGAAGAATTAATGCCAAATTCACAAGCTTGTAAACTAATGGATACACTTCATTTTTCTTAGTTGCATTCAACTTCTTTGAAAGATTACTAAGGCCCCGTAATTCTTTGAACTCTTTGCTAGAGCGCATATCAACTATATAAGTTTCAAGTTGATCATCAAGTTTCATACACTCTGTTGTTGAAAAATCGTTCGGATAATACCGAGCAAGGAGAACTAACTTTTCCTTATCAAAAGCCGAGAATGAATCGTTGGGGCATAAGCATGCTACACAAAGAAGAAGCTCATTACTTACCTCAGTGAATTGATCATTCAACTCTTGAAGTTGCATATCAATGACATTATAAAATAAACCCTCACGGAAGTAATGCAAATTTGTCATTTCTTCAATATTCCGCCTTGGGCGACCTTGATGTATAAAGGTACCATCCATGTTCAAAACATCGATATTGTGCTTTTGACAGAAAGAACTTACTTGTTCCAAAAGAGAATCCCACCCATTCTCCCTCATCAATTGGAGTTGTTGTTTACATACTTTCACTAAACTTATGGCATTTACAATATCTTCATCTTTCTTTTGTAATGCCTTCGACAATTCATTGGAAATTCCTAAAATAGTTCTCATGAGATGTAGACTAAACGCAAAGTCAAATGATAGCATCCAATCTAATAAATTATTTGCCCAGGATCTTTGATCAGGACATAATTCAACATCAACAATCATTTCAAGGACATCAAGGATAGGCGAGAACATGGTAATCAAAGTGGTCAAAGTACCATAGTGTGATCCCCAATGTGCATCACGAGGAGAATTAACAGTACTATGTTGATTGAAACTTTGTCCATTTGAAATCTCACTGTTCTCAAGTGCATTTGAAATTATGGCTGCTTGTTTCTCTCTGAGAAGATCACAACGATTAGACAATACTCCAACAGTATTCACCATCCTAGAAACCAAACTGAATAGTGATCCAGTCTCCCTGTGATTCTTTGCAACATGTACAAGAGCTTGTTCAAGTCGATGAGCAAAGCAATGAATGTAAAAAGCACACGGATTCTCTTTCAAAATAAGTTTTTTGAGACCATTAAACTCACCTTGAATATCGCTAGCCACCTCATAACCTTGTCCTCTCAATCTAGAAATACTCAACCCGTATCTAGAGAATAATTTATCTATAGCGGCCTTAAGTGAGAGAGATATGGCACTAGAAACGTGTTCAATACCCATAAAATGTTCAATTACATCTCCAGTGTTGTTCACATAACGCAACACAATAGACATTTGCTCCTCTTGTGAGACATCAAGAGACTTATCAAGTAGAATTGAGAATAAGGCATCACCGATATCTTCAATAATAACACTCAGCGTTTCAACAGCAGCAACACTTGCAATATCATTTTGAATATCACGTGCTATTAAAACAAGATTCTCTGGAGCATTTTTCATAATAGCCTTAATCACAGCATTTTGGTTGGCCAGCCACCACAAAAGTTGAATAAAGTCACGTTGATCTTCTGAAACTGCAAATTCATCATCATCGAATACAAGTCCATGTCGTGTGAGAAGTCGAACACAATCAACTGATACACTCAAAAGAGTCCGAGCACCGGCTTGCACGCGTGCTCCTCTAATTATATCTTTCCTTGATTTCTCTACATCATCATTTTCTTCAATAGAGAATGGAGATTTTCGTTTAAAATATCTCTCCATAACTTCCTACATGTCAAAAAGAGCAAACTCACTTCAACTAAAATGTCCATAACAAACAACAATTAACAATTTATATGATTAACAGAACTCGAATTAAAAACGCCGGAAATAATCAGCTCAATTAAACATTCTCACATCAAATTATACATAAACACAGTAAGCCCAACAAACTGCGTTCAAAAGAACCCACATTATATATGCCACTAAATTAACTTCTATTTCCTTCACTTAGTTACTCCACAAGCAGGAAAAATGAATTCTCGAAAAATAAACGAGCAATTCCAAATACATTCACACAGTTGAACTATAATGTTAATTCCCATAAACCAGTTATAGAAAAAAGAGAATCAACAGAAAAAAGATGCCCAAAAGGACCCTGATTGCTAGAAATCTTGACTAAGGACCAACACGTGCATGTTATGCATTTAGTCAGTGTTCTAATTTAGGGTTAACTCATAAAATTGTGGATTGATGTTGTTAAAGGAGAAAGGGGAATTTACCGATGAAAGAGCTGGGAGCGTCCGACGAGTTGCTATTTTGTTTTCAGCTGTACAATATAGGGTTTTAGCGAGAATAGAGAATGAACCATGAAGAATGAGACCTCACAGGGAAAAAGGTCTTTGTTTCAATTGAGTGAAGATATTTGTGCCTTTGGACCCCAACTTATTGTCATAGCTGCAATGCATTCCCAACTTTTTCTTTCCTTTTTTTTTCCCCGACATTTTATCTTTATTTTTAATTAAAATAAAGGAGGGAAAGGTAAAAATTAGGGGGAAAAATGTTTCCCTACGCCGCATTTCCCTCCCAACACTTATTATTTATATTATTTTTTAATTTAATTATAATAAAAATTTAAAAATCAT